TCTTGTTGTGTAATTGTGCCATTCCAGCTAGTGGCGTAGCCATGGTTGCCGGTCGGCCATTTTTGTGTATGAAACGGGATCCGACTACTCTGTAGAAATTCGCATTATAGAGCTGGCAAAAGTTCCGAGCGGAGCATAGACCATGAATCTGTAGTTATTTAACATGAATAAAGTGTATGTTGTGTAAACTCAGTAACAGTGTGAGTATTTTTAATTAATTTCTGTTCGATGCTTATTCAGGCCTGCCGCCTAATGGACGCCCTCTACTGTTGTTCAACACCTATAGTAATATTATATGTTATATTAATGAGTAAAATATGTTTTTTTATAGAAAATACATCAGAAAACTTACTTATCTAGCGGTCATAAACCAAAACAAACATTTACAAATAGCGTTTGTTCTCTTGTTTTGAAGGTTTTCTTCAGGTGTTAAACAACAGTAGAGGGCGTCCATAGGCTGCAGGCCTGAATAAGCATCGAACAGAAATTAATTAAAAATACTCAAACTGTTACTGCACTTACACAACATACACTTTATTAATGTAAAATAACTACAGATTCATGCTCTATGCTCCGCTCGAAACTTTTGCCAGCTCTATGATGCCAATTTCTGCAAAGTTGTCTGAACATATTTCATACACAAAAAACACCAACCGGTGACTGTGGCTGCGCCACCTGACGGAATGTCACGAATACACAACAAGAATAATTTTACTTCTAGTGCTTTCTCGACGTCCACGAGGCATCCAACTTGCGTGCATAATGCTAATTATTGCACTCTAGTGCCGAATTTCGGCCAAAAAAATTGCCAAAAAAGGCCTTTTCTAGAGACGAAATAGTGCAAGCTTACTGTTAGTGCAAGCTTACTGTTGTACACCTCCTTCAGTCAAAGCAAATCGAAGCAGCCAATCAGAAGGCGCTAAATTCTTCATATGTTATACCATAGGTTACATGTTACGCTGTTATCGCCTCCATGTGGTGACCACATATATAGTGGTGACCATCTATGCATGAGTCACCTCGTCTTTGGATTTCCATAGATCCTATCAAGAGCGTATAAAGAAGCTTAATAACGCTTAATAAGATTAATAAGCTTAATAAGCTTAATAAGCTTAATAAGCTTAATAAGCTTAATAAGCTTAATAAGTTTAATAACGCCTTCTTAATACGTTCTTGACCCTATGGGTCTGTAAATGCCACTGTAAATCATCGTATATTCATGAGAGGCACATTCTCAGCCGACAAGGAAGTTAACTGCGCCGTTCACCGAGCTTAGCGTGAATGCTATTGTTACAGCCACAGGCACTTGGACCGTTTCAATAATAAAATGATGGTTAATAAATACAACTTGTCAGTAGCCTACTACTACAGTACCAGCAATAGTCTTAATGTTTGATTTGACCTAATAACTTCACTTCAACACCGTTAAATACACCGATGCAACACATAGCCCGCATGCCATTGTGCATGCACAGATACACAGTAGATAGGAGGCTCCTACCTACTGTGTATCTGTGCATGCACAATGGCGTGCGGGCTATGTGTTGCATCGGTGTATTTAACGGTGTTGAAGTGAAGTTATTAGGTCAAATCAAACATTAAGACTATTGCTGGTACTGTAGTAGTAGGCTACTGACAAGTTGTATTTATTAACCATCATTTTATTATTGAAACGGTCCAAGTGCCTGTGGTTACAGCCGCCGCCATTTCAGTACACCGCCGTACGGCAACACGAAGCGCACGAACGTTCTTGTACACTTTTACGATGGACGCTGTGTCAGCCGGTCGTCGCGTAAATATCTATCACCCCTCTCTCTCTCTCTCTCTCTCTCTCTCTCTCTCTCTCTCTCTCTCTCTCTCTCTCTTTC